GGGACTCCAGTTCAAATCCCACCATAGTAGACAGTGGAATTTGAATTCAATAAATCTCTAGAATTAAAGAGTCTAATGATGACTATGAATCCATTGCCAATTGTTGGAAAACCCCACCTAGTTCACTAATGTCCTTTAGGGAAGGAAACTGCAATCCATGTGACTCCAGACCCACAGCAATGTGGTTGACTCTTAACTGCCTTCTGGGCAATTAGGGTGGATAATAAATGCTGCCTGGCCAGTGACACCCTCATCCTGTTAATAAATAAATAAGAATCTCCTGTCTGTGCCCTATAACAATTATTGTTTTAAATTTTGTCAAATCCACCTAACACAAGATTCATTCTTAGTGCATAAGATCTGACTGCTTCTTATTTTCCTGAGGTACTGTCCTTTTCAACTGTACCCAAAATAGAGGATCTGTTTGAGAGAGGAATGGCCACAGGAGATTTCTGAACTACCTTTCCTGACAGTGGCCCATCTATCTGACTGATCGAGCTGTGTAATCACTTCCCTAAATCTATTAGCCATCTAACTGTGTCTGTTGTATGCCCTCAATGACATTTAAGTCTAAACAGAAGCAGCTTTCAATAGCACCTTTTTAGATTTAAAAAGAACAAACTACCTTTACTTGCCCAAAGAATTAATACTAAGCACAAAAAAGTTTTAAAAAAAGTCTCAAATAAAAATCAACCACTTAGCTGAACAATTGAATTAAAAAATGACTCAGTGGTTGAGTCGTCAATTTATTGAAAAAAAATCTCATTCCAGTGCTGCCTACATGTAGACCTCTCCAAAAGCTCGAAACACAGCTGTATTAAAAAAAAACTCAGATTTAATGATGTTAAAAAAATCTCTCCTTCTACACATACAAGTTTAGAGAAAAATAAAACAGCTTTCCACATGTGGGCCTCTTCAAAAGGTCAGTTAACACAACTTTTAAAAAAATAAAAATCACGCACAGTTGTTTGTTTTATGTTTGGGTTTTTCTTTTAAAAAAAACCCCGAGAGAGAATCAAAAATGAACCAAAATAAAAATCTTATACTACTGAAATGTAATAACTGCAAGAAATCTAGAAGATAGATAGATGAGTAGGCCTGTTAACACCTCCGTTTGGGAAAAAAAAACACTTTTTTGGCATTTTTGTCTGATTTCTTTTTTATAAAAATTAACCAAAATAAAAATCTTATGCTATTGAAACGTATTAACTAAGAAATCTAGGAATAAATACAGGACTAAGACTGCAATCTCAGCAGCAGCAAGATCCACGCTACTTTCAGTCCACCATTTTGAAAAAAAATTAGAAAGAGATAATAGGAGGGAAAGGGAGAGGGGGAGTCTCTCAGTTTTAAGTGAATGCTATTGGACAACAGGAAAATTCAACATGGGATAATGATTGCGGCTGGCAGAAATGTCTGGATTGTGTAGCTCAGCGTGCTCCTCAAGGACTGTAAACCACGCAATGTACTATATGGTACAAAAGCAACACAGCTGACTGAAAAGGTGATGCAGAGATACAAACATGGAATTTTACACTCAGGCAATACAGATTGGAGTTAAGTATGTCGCTGGGACCTGGAGAGCAGAGGTCAGAATACAAAATAATCATTAGATCTGCAAACTGTCTTCATTGATGTCTTGATTTTCTGATATTTGCATTGTTTCATGAGGCGAATGCTGGGGGCAGTAAAACCAGAAAAAAGGTGCAGTAATATCCAAATTCAGAGGATAATAAAAACTAATTTTGCTCTCAGTTTGGAACCTCTACCAAATGTCTTCAAATAATTCCCAAACAATATCATTCTTCATAATGCATTATGCATGTAGATGTGGCAAACTCCCTGATTTGATAATGTCACTGTTTGTACTGAAGGATATCATACAACATTAAAATAGAAAAATCAACCATTTCCCAAACAGTGTATAAAAAGGACAATAATTCACGCTGGTGGTTTGAACCCTAAAATCTAAACTATGTTATTGAAAAACAAAATTAAAAACCCAATATTTAGGCATGCAACATTCTAATTTGGGGGGAGAAAGCTGCATTAAATCGCATGGATGTCAAATGTTACAGCATCAGCACACTAATGATTGATGTCGCATCCACAAACATTCACTTCCTCTACTACTACTGAGCATTTGTGGTGATGTGTAGCAACTAGAAGTTGCACTGCAGAAATTCACTAGGGCTCCTTAGACAGCAATTTCCAAACCTACGACCACTACAATCTAGAAGGACAAGGGCAGTAAATAGGAGAACACCACCACCTGCAAGTTCCCCTCCAAACCACTCACCATCCTGACTTGGAAATATACATCGCCATTCCTTCACTGTTGCTGCGTCAAAAACTTGCAACTCCCTCCCTAACAGCATAGTGGGTCTACCTACATTAAAATGGGCTCAGTAGCAGTTCAAAGAGGCGAGCCCAGAATTAATTGAATTTGAAAGAAAATATGTTTTCTTCTGCTTTCATGAAGTGAGACAACGTTCAAGTACACCTATTGATATGCCAACTCCTGCTCTCCTAAAATAAAACACACAGACTGCTAATGCTGAAAATCTGAAACAAAACCAGAAATTGTGGAGAAACTCAGCAGGTCTAGCAGCAACTGTGGGAAGAAAGCAGTGTTAATGTTTCCAATCCAGTGATGCTTTCTTCAGAATTGCAAATTCTGAAATTTTATTCCCTGTGCAGTTGGCCCCCAAAGGAGCAATCCCCTCATAACTGAGAAGTATCAGCTTGTAAACCACCTCTCAAAGAAAAAAAAATCACTGCTTAAATGTGTTATTGGTGGATAGTTTAAAAAAAAGTTCTCTTAAAACAGGAATCCTGCAACAAGTAACGCACCTTCCAACTCCCCAAACCCATTCCACCATCTACAAGACAAGTCAGGAGTGAGATGAATACTTCCTACTTGTCTGGATGAGTACAGCTTCAACACTCAAGAAGCTTGACACCATCCTGTCTGCTTATTAGCGCCACATTCCCGAACACACTCTCCATCCACAATCACAGTCAGTGTGTATCATCAACAAGATTCACCGCGAAAAAAAGTTATAGTTTCCTTCAACAGCACTATCCAAATCCATGACCATTACGACTTGTAAAGACAAAGGCAGCAGATACATGGGAACACAACCCCCTGCTGACTTGGAAATATATCACCGTTCCTTCAGCATTGCTGGATCAAAACCCTGGAATTTCCTCCCCAAGGGCACTGTAGATTTGCCTACAGCAGGAGGACTGCAGCGGTTCAAGAAGGCAGCTCACCACCACCTTCTCAAGGGCAAGTAGGGATGGGCAATAAATACTGGCCCAGCCACAACCCACATCCCATGAATGAATAAGTAATTCAACTGTTTACATCATTTATATTTTGTAATAATATTACATGACACTTAGCACTGCTGCTAGCATGGCATTTGGAGAAGATGATTTAACTGCAGGCTCGGAGGGAAAGATTGTGTACAATTCACTAGGCAATGTAATTTTGATTTTGCACCATGAGTGGTTAGGATTTGGGCTCTTTATTAACGCAGCAGAGGCAGGATCAATTGCCACTTTCAAAAGGAAAGTGTATATATAACTGAGTGTTGCAGAAAGGTGGGGAAAAGAGCCAGAATAGTTAATAGCTCTTCAAATAGATCTGACACAGATTTGATGTGTGGAACGTCCTCCGCCTGTGCTGGACTATTTGAATGATGAAGGAAGCATCTTGCCATGCCGAATCCGTCCTGGATAACAAAAGGAGAATTTCTTTTCTTTTTAAGCTAGGTTTTGGTCATGGGATAGGGCGGGGTGGGGGGCAGCCAGGACAGCATTTCTTACCTATTGCCCCTGAACAGAGCAGGCTGCCTGGCCATTTCTATGGGTGGCTATGACTCAATCATATTGTGGATCTGGAGTCACATGGAGGCCAGACCACATAGGGACAACATATTCCATTCCATTCCACCTGATGGACTGAAGAAGTGCACCAGATAGGTTTCTTTTGCATAAAATCAAAGTCAGTTTGGGACTAGGTTTTAATTCCACATTTATTATTATTGGCATTTAAATTCTGTGGCCAGATCTGAACCCATGCCCCCAGTGTATGAGCATTGACCTCTGGATGTCTAGTCCAGAGACTTCACCACCACTTCCAAGGCCACAAGATATACAGGCAGAATTGGGCCATTGAGCACATCGAATTTCCTCCTCCATTCAATCTTGGATAATGTAGGTTTCTCAACCCCATTCTCCTGCCTTCCTCTCATAACCTTCGACCCCTTACTAATCAAGAACCTCTCTATCTTAAATACACTGACTTGGCCTCCGCAGCAATGAGTTCTACAGATTCACCACCCTCTGCTGAAGAAATTCCTCCTCATCTCAGTTCTAAAGGGTCGTTCCTTCACTCCGAGGCCATGTCCTTGGGTCTTAGTCTTGGCTACTAGTGGATACGTCTTCCCCACATCAAATCTATCCAGGCCTCTCTGTATTTTGTAAGTTTCAATGAGATTCCACCCCACCCCCATACTTCTAAAATCCATCAAGTACAGACCCAGGGTCCTCAATTGTTTCTCATACAAGTCCTTCATTCCCAGGATCATTCTTCTAAACCTTCTCTAGACCTCCTCCAAGGCCAGCACATCCTTTCTTATGGAGGGGGCCCAAAACTCTCAATAATCCAAGTGTGGTCTGACCAGAGCCTTATCCTCAGGGGTACATGCAGTGCATTAGCAGGAGCTGGAGTCAATACAGGGTGAAGCTGGAGGAACACAGCAGGTGAGGCAGCAGAGGAGCAGGAAAGCAGCCGTGTTGACTCTGACTCCAGCATTTGCAGTTCTTGCTATCTCGTTAGCAGGAGCTTCATGGGATTGATTAAAGCATAATTTTGGACAACACTACCTTGTGACGCATTTGCTATTTCACTGGAGAGCGTACAGGAAATGCCATTTGTTCCGAACTGCAGTAAAGGGTCAAATGCGCCAACGAAAGAAAAATGCACCAACCTTCAGTTCTCGGATTCTTCCCTTGTGAAGTTGATAGATTACTTGATAAGTATTGTCCAAGCAAGCTTACATTTCTACCTCCCTCACATGCAAGCAGGACGATGAACCTGGAGGTCAAGTACATTAATTTTGTGGATTTATAACCAATTCAGTCATGGCTGGGGAGCTCCTCGTTTCCTCCAAAATGCACACTTGAAGGTCACATCCTGGGCAAGTTATGATGAACAGTAACTGAAGCTTCACTTTATCAACCTTCAGTGAAGTCACATTACAATTAGATATCACCACAGGAACTGCATTTCCGCTCAGACATCATGCCTACGTTGTTATCCTCCGTACTAGCAACATCCTGTGCACACATTCTTCATGGAGCCCCAGAAAGCATATAGCCATGCCAAAGGCTACATTCCACTTCAAATGCAAATGGGCTTTGAGCTTCAGAGTAGCCATTATGTCTCCTGCAAAGTTTTCTAGATATAATGCAATTTTCTATCAGACTCTTCAGTTTTACAAAAAACAAAACAACTTATCTTTGGACAATGACTGGAAGATATAATCTTTTCTTCCTTCCATTTAAACACAGTAATAAACAAAACAAATTCAAAAATGTCTGTTTGTGTCATTCGCATAAATAGTGATGCAGAGAGTGAAAGTCAAGGACTGTACAGGAAATCAGGGTCGGGAATATCTGGTTGCATTTAATTATTCAAACCCCATGACGCAGTGAGAAATTGTGTTAGTCCTCATGTGCACATTTACAATGGAAACTGCTTCTATCTTCTTGCCACATAGTCAGTAGTGGGGCAAAAGAAGCAGGATGCTGCTCTCAAGAGGACAGCATTAGAAGAACAGAAATATCAGAGACAGAAGGAAAGTACTCACAGGGATGGGCATAGAGGCAATTGAAAAAGAAAGAAAAATGTATAAGAGAGTTTGGCAGATCTAGAGTCACAGGAAAGTAAAGAACTGTGCGTGCTGGAAATCCAAAACCAAAAAAAACACAAATTGCTAGAGAAATTCGGCAGGGTCTAGCAGCATCTGTGGAGAGAAAATAGTTGACATTTCAAGCCCAGTGACCCTACTTCAGAACTAAGCTAGGTTGGCAAGGTCAGGGATAAGTGTATAGCCATATCTGATGGGGTTTGTGTCACCAATGATACTATACAAGAAAAAAGGATGGCCAAGTAGGTCAAAAGCAAGAAAACAAAAGCTGTGTGAAATGGCGAGATGCCAAGTGAGGTTCGTAAACCTAACTCCCTGTCGAAGGATATCTTAGCCAAACTCTTAATGGTTTTGTCTGCAACTAACAAGGACGCTGCTTAGAAACACTTGGAACGAAAATGTATGTAAATGGTTGCATGTAATGATCCTGCTGCAAGTTCTGTCATCCCTTGACCGTTGTAAAGATTTAAGAAACTGGATCCACATAGATTAGGAAAAAAAAATAACCGCAGATAAAGATACTTCAAATCAATTTTAATGGCACAATAATTGGCTTTTCTTTACATTTACCGGTCAACATAAATGCATTTTGTTGCTAAATTAAAATATTCAAAGTCTGAAAGAACAAAAAAAAGGTTAAAAACAAAGCCAGATCCAGAGAAGGGCACGTACAACTGCGCAATGTCAGGATGCAGATTGCATGCTCCATGAAGCCTATTATTGCCTTGATGCAATAGGTACATTTTGGAACTTCCACTTCTTTCTAACAAATAAGATGTTAAAATTTGGAAATACTGTTGAAGAGATGTGCTTCATCTTTAGATTTCACATAGACATTAACAAATATTAGTCTTTCACCTTTTCAGTAACAGATTAGCACATAATTATTACAATTGATAGCCCTTAAACACTCAGGTCATTCATCAAAGAACAAGCAAAAATCATACACTACGATACGCCCACGTGCGCATTTTCCAACAAAATTTTATCATTCAAGTTCCCCAGCTGATTCTTGGAAAGAGTTAAATAAAAACCAAAACAACTGTGGATGCTGTAAATCAGGAACAAAAACAAACAAAGTTGCTGGAAAAGCTCAGCAGGTCTGGCAGCATCCTCAGAACAGCTAGTGAAAGAGCTAGTTGCATAAAAGTTTAACATAACCGTTTTCATGGCCACCTTGATCTCACAGGTCCCACTCCAGCATCTGGTACAATTCTGTCACAGCGTCCCAGGACATCCTCAGTCTGCGGGAACACCACATCGTGCTCATCTGGAGGAAACAGCATCGAGGATGTCAACCCTTCCAGAGAGGGTCTTCAGCTGCTGCATCTTCACTGCTGGCCCATCGCTTCCTCAGTAATTTCTCTACACCTTCATGAAGGCTGGACGAGTAAGCAGTGAGCTGGATTCACTGTCTTTCATAATCAGGAAACATCACTGTCCAGTTTCTGGGAGAATGGAAAACTGCATAAGAGAGCAGCGAGGTTATGTAACAATGATGTGCTAATGCATTCAAATAGACCTCTCACTATTCATTAGCGAGATTCCCATCTCTTCATTCCAAACCTGGACGCAAAATCAGACATTTTTCCCCTCGATGTCAAGAATCTGATTTTTCTGATCTCACCATATTTTCACAACTGACCTGCCACTGCCCACCTCATTCACCAATTGAGAAGATGCTTCCTCATTAATCTAACAACAGCAGCTGTAAAAGCCTAACTGGTTCACCAATACCCCTTAAGGAAAGAAATCCGGCATCGTTAGCTAGTCTGGCCTATGTGATTCCAGACCCACAAAAAGGTGTGGTCAATCCTAACTGCCCTCAATTAGTCCAGCAAACCACTTCAAGGTCTATTGAGGTTCAGTAAAAAGTGATGGCCCTGTCAGTGATACTCATCTTATCCCACAGTCCAAGGACGTGCAGGTTAGGGTGGATTGGCCATTCTAAATTGCCCATAGTGCCCAGGGATGTTTAGATTAGGTGGGTTAATCATGGGAAATGCAGAAGGGAATAGGTCTGGCTGGGATGCTCTTTGGAGGGGCGGTGTGGACTTGTTGGGCCAAATGGCCTGTTTCCACACTGTAGGGATTCTAATTCTATTCTTATGAATGAGTAAATAATTAAGAGGAGGCAAGGTCTCAGTGAAAAAGGATAATTGAGCGGCTGAACTTCACCTCGAGTTCGAAAGAAATGTCATATCACACTTGAAATTTTAACTGTTTCTCTCTCCACAGATGCTGCCAGACCTACTGAGTTTCTCCAGCATTTTGAATTAAAAACAAAAACATCACTTCCTTCTTGCTACTGGACATCAAAAAGCTGTTGTTACTGGAATTAAACAAAGTTGACGCCCAGATACAAGTGCTACGTCTGTTCCAATTTGTCCTGTTTGAAGAAAAAAAAAAGACACGATAAACCCTCTTGTACTAATTACAGGCAAGAGAAAGACCACTGACACACTTTGGTATTTATTAACTCTACTTCAAAAATACAAGGTTATGCTCAAGCCAATTACAACAACTGACTTCTTTTTAGCAACAAGAGGTTATTCAGTCCCTTGAACGTCTAGCACCAATGAAATCAACAGCCAACTACAACTCCATTTCCCTACCATAACTCTATATCTCTTGACACTCTTTACTAACAAAAGGAACTGAATTTACAGTAGTGGCCACCGAGCTAAGCCTGACCATACACTAAAAGCCAGCTGCATAATGGGTGGTGAATTAAAAGGTGTGATGCTGCAGAGGCAATGGCCAAGTGGCATTATCCCTAGATTGTTAATCCAGGACCCAGGTAATGCTCAAGGGCCCTGGGTTCGAGTCCTACCATAGCAAATTCATGGAATTAAGTTTAAGTTCCCATCTGGAATTAAGAGTCTAACAATGGGTCATGAAACCATTGTCAAATGTCAGGTAAACAACATGTGGTTCCCTTTAGGGAAAGAAACTGCCATACTCACCTCGTCTGGCCTTCATAGAATTCCAACTCATAGGAATGTGGTTGACTCTGAACTGCCCTCTGGGCAATTAAGGATGGGTAATAAATGCTGGATTAATCAGACATGCCTACATTCTGTGAATGGATAGGTAAAAACATTGTACGCATAGTCTCCAATTTCAGGGAGCGATACAAGTTTCAATTGAAGCAGTTTTTCCCCCGTGAAAAGAGGGGGGAGTTATAATTTTAATTGCGTGCCTGCAGAATCAGGTGATCAAAATCATTAGCAGCATAGATAATGTGAATAACTAAAGGTCTTTTTCCTATGGTGGGGGTGGGGGGGGCGGAGTTCAAAATTAGGGGGCATATTTAAAAGGTGAGAGGAGAAACTTTTCCACACATAGGGTGTGGAATGAACTGTCAGAGGAAGTGGTAGATGCAGGTACAGTTATAACATTTAAAAGATATTTGGACAGGTACATGAATAGGAAAAGGTTGAGAGGGATATGGGCCAAACACAGGCAAGTGGGACTAGTTTAGTTTGGGAAACTTAGTCAATGTGGACTAGCAGGACTGAAGAGTCTGTTTCTGTGATGCATGACCCTACAGCTGTTCTTGAATATTACAGAATTTGACAGCATGAGAGAGTTAAAGGTTTTGTTCTGCGGAATAGTCGTTTAACTTTGCAAAAGCAAAACCTCTGGCATGTTAACGGAATGAGGGAGTTACACTGATTTTGTTAAATCAATAGAAAAAGAAAGAGAGCTCTTGGGTAAGGAAATTAGCTGGTTAATGATCGTTTTGTCAGATTCATTATAAACCTCTTCTAATATGGAGCTGTATTTTAATTACTGTGCCCCAAAGACGTGGATTGTCTCATTGGTGGTGGGAGGGGTGGGGTGGGTTATGCATTTCTACGATTCAATGAGGGTTTGCTCAGCCTCCACGGCAGCTTAGACTAAATACTTCTGTATCAACTCGTCTCAGCCATGCTGCGGTTACAAAGTATTATCTGTTCAGAATACAATGAATATTATTTTAATAAAGTGGGCTTCAGCCTCAGCACCCACAAAACTGGTGAAGCGGAGAACAGCACTCTGAAATCACAAATAAAACTGCCACTCTCCAAACACTGCATCTTTCACATTCTCAGGAGATAGCAGCGCGTGTCACAGTCAATGAAGTACATTTGCAGTGTGGTTATGTAGATCAACTGGACAGTCCACAGTGAGAGAGATGGGAGAAACTTTAGCAGAGAAGTCTGTCTGTTGGTATATAACATTTCTTCTACTACCAGCTCCACCTGACAACTGCCCATCCCTGCACTGCTCTCTCCCCGATTCCTTAAAAAGGTGTCAAATGTTATCCGATTTCCTTCAGGAGAGGGAGGAAATGAAAAATCAACAGAGCTGACCTGATCAAGTGTAATGAAGTAAATGCTGAGTTTATTCTTTGACATTACAGTTTTACAAAAAAAAAAAGGAGCATCTTCTATCATTGTGCAGCTGTTACCATGACCATATCTTGTTTTATTAGTCTGCTTCATCAGGCAGTGAAAATCACAGACTGCCAGCTGTTCCTATAATCTGGCCATATGCGCCTGTTGATTCTTCCCACTGCCTCTCACTGATATAGCTAATTATATTCACATTGAAACAAATTGACATCAGGAGGCTTTACAGTCAAGACAAAAAGACTTCCTTTTTCATATGGAGATATAAAGGCATGTTAACATATTTAAAAAAAAAGACAGCAGCAATTGTAACAAAAACAGCTGAATTTTATAACCAATCACTCTCATTTTCTGGTTTTATAAATAACCTAATTATGTCCAGGACTCATTAGCTCGAGGGCGTAATTAGAGCAAAAATAATATCACACTTCCACAGACACAGTAAAGCCAATATTGACACCCACATCTGTAGAACTGCCTGGTATGCAAATGAATCAGCATCTGTACAAGATGCAGATTCCTATCCAGTGACTTCCCTCACTGAGCGAAGAGCATTAAAAAGTGTGATCCAGCTGGATCATGGCACACACATTAAACGATGAAGACATAGTAAATGACAGCATTATTGCTAAGTTTGCAGATGACACAAGAAACAGGTAGTGTTGGAGGAAGCAGGAGGCTGCAGAAGGGCTTGGACAGGCTAGGAGACTGGGCAAAGAAGTGGCAGGTGGAATACCAGTGTGGGAAGGTGTGTGACATTATGCACTTTGTCAGGAAAGAACACAGGCATAGACTACTGTCCAAATGCAGAAATCTGAAGCACAAAGGGACTCGGGAGTCTTAGTTCAGAATTTGCTTAAGGTTAACATGTAGTTTCAGTTGGCAGTTAGGAAGGCAAATGCAAAGTAGTGTTAATTTCAAGAGGGTGAGAATATAACAGCAGGGATGTACTGCTGAGGCTGTTTCAAGGTCTGTTCAGATGACCTTTGGAATATTGCGAGCAGTTTTGGGCCCTGCATCCCAGGAAGTATGTGCTGACCTTGGACAGTGCCCAGAGGAGGTTTACAAGAATGATTCCGGGATGAAGGGCTTGTCGTATGAGGAGCACTTGAGGGCTCTGGGTCTGTACTTGGAGTTTAGAAGAAGAGGGTAAAATCTCATTGCGATTTACAAAATACTGAGAGGCCTAGATAGATTGGATGTGGAGAAGTGGTTTCCTCTCGGAGAGATGAGTACCCAAGGGAACAGCCTTAGGATGAGGAGACGACCCTTTAGAACTGAGATGACGAGGAATTGCTTCAGCCAGAGTGTGGTGAAACATTTGAACTCATTGCCACAGAGGGCAAGTCATTGTGTGCACCTAGGACAGAGATGGATAGATTGTTGATTACTAAGTGGAGCAAAGATCATGGGGTGGGGGGTGAGGGGTGAGGGGAGGGGAGGCAGGTGAATGGGATTGAGAAACATCAGCCATGATCGAATGGTGAGGCAGACACAGTGGGCTAAATGTTCTAATTCTGCTCCTTCATGTTATGGTTGACATGGATTTCCAACTGCATCCGAGCAGAAGACAGACAAACAAAGTCTCACATCTTCAGGAACTACGTTTTGTAGAATTCCATTTTGAGCAATTCATATACGAATATAAAAGAAGTGTGGGATCATGGGTTTTGAGCCCCACGTATTGTATTACAAACTTCACTGGCACCTGAAGGGTAGAATCTTGTCTTGACCTGAACGACGTGGGCCGTGGTGAGATGTGGAAAATGGGGAGAGAAGTCCAGTGAAGCATGCGGCCGTTCTGAAGACCAGCTTTGAGCTTGGGCCAATTACTTACTCAGCTCATATTGTGCCTTTCACCACTTCAGAAAGATCCGGAACACATCACAACCAATGAAACAGTGTAGAACACATAGCAGCTGATCAACAATGTGATGTGATAAGTTGTGAGAACTTGGACAAGTTTTTTTATGACTGATGGTCAGCCTCAAAGACACTACCCTGTGAATTAAAGGTAATCTGGTGAAGAGTTAACTACTGCCTGGGTACTG